GTCTATAGTCTAGTCTATAGTCTAGTCTATAGTCTAGTCTATAGTCTAGTCTATAGTCTAGTCTATAGTCTAGTCTATAGTCTAGTCTATAGTCTAGTCTATAGTCTAGTCTATAGTCTAGTCTATAGTCTAGTCTATAGTCTAGTCTATAGTCTAGTCTATAGTCTAGTCTATAGTCTAGTCTATAGCCTAGTCTATAGTCTAGTCTATAGTCTAGTCTATAGTCTAGTCTATAGTCTAGTCTATAGTCTAGTCTATAGTCTAGTCTATAGTCTAGTCTATAGTCTAGTCTATAGTCTAGTCTATAGTCTAGTCTATAGCCTAGTCTATAGTCTAGTCTATAGTCTAGTCTATAGTCTAGTCTATAGTCTAGTCTATAGTCTAGTCTATAGTCTAGTCTATAGTCTAGTCTATAGTCTATAGTCTATAGTCTAGTCTATAGTCTAGTCTATAGTCTAGTCTATAGTCTAGGCTTATAGTAGTCTAGTCTAGTCTATAGTCTAGTATAGTCTAGTCTACTAGTCTAGTCTATAGTCTAGTAATAGCTAGTCTATAGTCTAGTCTATAGTCTAGTCTATAGTCTAGTCTATAGTCCTAGTCTAGTCTAGTCTATAGTCTAGTCTATAGTCTAGTCTATAGTCTAGTCTATAGTCTAGTCTATAGTCTAGTCCTATAGTCTAGTCTATAGTCTAGTCTATAGTCTAGTCTATAGTCCCGTCTATAGTCTAGTCTATAGTCTAGTCTATAGTCTAGTCTATAGTCTAGTCTATAGTCTAGTCTATAGTCTAGTCTATAGTCTAGTCTATAGTCTAGTCTATAGTCTAGTCTATACTAGTCTATAGTAGTATAGTCTAGTCTATAGTCTAGTCTATAGTCTAGTCCTAGTAGTCTAGTCTATAGTCTAGTCTATAGTCTAGTCTATAGTCTAGTCTATAGTCTAGTCTATAGTCTAGTCTATAGTCTAGTCTATAGTCTAGTCTATAGTCTAGTCTATAGTCTAGTCTATAGTCTAGTCTATAGTCTAGTCTATAGTCTAGTCTAGTCTAGTCTAGTCTATAGTCTAGTCTATAGTCTAGTCTATAGTCTAGTCTATAGTCTAGTCTATAGTCTAGTCTATAGTCTAGTCTATATTCTAGTCTATAGTCTAGTCTATAATCTAGTCTATAGTCTAGTCTATAGTCTAGTCTATAGGCTCGACTCTAGACTACGCTATTGTTCAGACTATACACTTGACTTCAGTCTAGACTAGACCGGTGTATAGTCCAGACTATAGACTAAACTATAGTCCAAACTATAAATTAGGGTGTAGTCGACATTATAGACTAGAATATAGTCTAGACTATGGACTTGACTATAGTACAAGCCTAACTATATAGTTAGTGGTTGCTAAAAAAATATATAACAAATGTTTGGCTTTAAGTTAATTTACCACTAATAGTCTACAAACTTACATTAATACCCACTACTTATTATCCCCTTCAGTCAAGAGCCCATTTTGTACAAATTATTCAAAATATTTGTTTGTTAAATAAAGATAAGCATTATTAATTTTAATTCACAGAAATTTGAATTTAAAATATCCATAAAAATAATAAATAATACAGCTTGTACACGAAAAAGTTAATGCATTTCATTATTCAATATTACCCATAAATTAAGAACTTATAGTTACAATTTTCCGTGGACAGAACTTACCTTTATTAATATTGGTTTCTTTAGAATATAAGGAATAAAAACTTTGTTAAGATTCCTTTTTTGTCATAAGTTTTGCATAAAATAAGCTAGAATTTCTATTGGAAAAAATTTGCTATTAAAAAATAGCGTTGTAGTGCAAAGAAAAGCAATATAATAGAAAAGTTTCCAATAACAGTAATAAACAAATTAAAAGAAATTACAAAAAAAAAGTAACTTAAGAATTTCAGTTTCATGTTTCTGAGAGAGTGTGTAGTCGAAGGATGTTGCGAGTGCTAAAAGTTTTTTTCATTTTTCTGCAGCATTCTATTGTAGTGTAAGTTGTAGTCAGAAAGACATGGAAAATAAGTAGAAAATTATATGTGTTTTTTAATTGATAAGAAAATGTATTGAATCTCGACCACAGTTCAATAAATAAAGAACTTGGTGTCTGTATAAAATAAAATAATGCGGTACTACTTGTTTGCGAAGTCAGAGGAGTTGTGGGTTTTGTGGGAAAAAGTTGCAGTTTTATTAAATTAAGACTTTATTCCGTCGCAGAAAAATTTTTATATTTTGGTGGATAATTATCGGATTATTTAGTGTAGTAGACAGAATATAGCCGACGATCAGCTCTATAATCTGGATTATAGTTTCATCTTTAGTCCAAATTGTAGTCTAGACTATAGATCAAACTATAGTGCAGACTGTAGGCAAGTCTATAGCCTAGACAATAGTCCATTCTATATTTCAAATCTAGTCCAGTCTATAATCCACACTATAGTAAAGTCTATAGTTCAAACTATAGTCCGTCTATAGTACAGACTATTGTTCAGATTATAGTCCAGATTATAGTCCAGACTATATTCTAGATTAAAGTCCAGTCTATAGTCAAGACTATAGTCCAGATTATAGACTAAACTATAGTCCAGTCATAGTTGAAACTATAGTCCAGTTTATTGTCCTGTCTATAGTCCAGATTATAGTTTAGACTATAGTCCAGACTATAGTCCGTCTATAGTCCAGACTATCGTGCAGATTATAGTCCAGACTATAGTCTAGATTATAGTCCAGATTATGGTCCAGTCTATAGTCAAGATTATAGACTAAACTATAGTCCAGACGTAATTCAAACTATAGTCCAGTTTATTGTCCTGTCTATAGTCCAGAACATAGTCCAGTCTATAGTTCCGACTATAGTCCAGATTATAGTCCAGACTATAGTGTAGATTATAGTCCAGGCTATGGTCCGGTCTATAGTCCAGACTATGGTTTAGTCTACAGTCTAGATTATAGACTAAACTATAGTCCAGTCGTAGTTCTAACTATAATCCAGTTTATTGTCCTGTCTATAGTCCTGTCTACAGTCCAGACTATAGGCCAGTCTATAGGCTAGACTATAATCCGGTCTGAAGTCCAGTCTACAGTCCAAACTATAGTCTATAGGCCAGACTATAGGCCATACTATAGGCCAGTCTATAGGCTAGACTATAGTACGTTTTATAGGTCAGACTATAGTCCGGTCTTTAGTCAAGTCTACAGTCTAGACTATACTCTGAACAATCATCGAAAGCATAATCTGAACTTTAGTTTGTACCATACTTTGGACTATAGTCTGGAGTATAGTCTGTACAATCATCAAACCATAATCTGAACTATAGACTAGATTATAGTCTGGACACTAGACTGGACCATAATCTGAACAACATTCAGTACAATAGTCCGACCTTTACGTTATAAAATTAAAACGAAATTTGTACACAAGCAATTAAAGTTGAAACCCAATTTTCTAGATAAATTTTCAACAATTATTCTCCTTTAATTTTCACTACTAACCACACAATCCACAAACCTTTAAAACATTTACATTACTTAGTATAATATTAATCTAATTAGACACTGTTTTTAGGCCATAATCATGATATGAATACATTTCCTAAGGCTCTATCACCGAGAGAGAGAAAAAAAAAAACAATTTTCTTCATAATTTAATGAAATTTTATCTGCACAACATTTTATTAAATATTTTACTGGCTCTAAGGAAGAAAAGGATAAAAAGGCCACATAAATGCAAATTGAAAAATATGAATTTTTCAACAATAACATTTCAAAAATATGCTGTAAAATATCATGATAATAAGGAATATTAAAGATTAGAACACGGCAAACAAAAGATGTTATATAGTATTTTGGAGATTTAGAAAAATATTTCCAGCAGATTAAAGATTCTAATGTAATCTTATTGTTGCTGCAGGCATTGTAATTATATTTCTATCAAATGTCCTTAATCGTTTGCCAAGTGATTGTCTAACAGATGAAAATTGGTTTGAAGGGGGGAAAAAAGAAACAATAAACTGTGGTCAATGATAATGATGATAAGGGGTTTTAAAGGAATAGAGTGATCAATAACTAGTCCACATTTTTAAGTGTGATTTGTATAAATTTTTTTAAAATGTGTTTAAAGGATCGATTGTAAGCAACCATTTGACAAATTTGAACTTAACAGTTTTTTATAGTGATTTGTTGCAAACAATATTTTCATCTAATAAATTACAACATAATAAAGGGACTAGTTTTTTCAATATTTGTCTAGTTATGAGAAAAATGTAGTTTGCTATAAAGTTTTTTGCTTTTTTCTGCCCTATTGCTAGTTTATATGGTTTCTAACATAGGCGTATGTGTAATATTTTGAAACTTTTAGATATTTATTATGTATACGCAGAGGTGGTTTGTAGATGTATAGTACTACAGGCTGTATAAGTGATATTAAATGGATAATAGTAATTGTGGTAAAGAAAGGTATTTCAATTTTGTTTTTACAAAGATTGATTGCAAATTATGAAAGAAAACGTTTAAATATGTCAAAATGGATAATGTGGAAATATATATACAAGTGTTTGGTATGATTGAGAACACAAGGATTTAAGATATATGGTGATAGGGCATATTTGTTTTAAAACATAAACGAGTAAGGATGTTCGAGTTTGTTTAAAAATCCGATTAATGTTAGTAATCTGAGGCCAAAGTTTATTTTCCTTAAAAAGTTTTAAAAAAACTAATAATGACACTTTTTATGCAAAAAGTCCTTTTAACTAATATTATCAAAGTTTGTTTATGCAACACTTGATGTTACATGATTATCCATAAATTTACGCTTCATTACATGTTTGTTGGTTAGTTGTGTCGTTGCACATTTCCAACTTATCACCATACACACACACACACTTACACCAACGAAACCACTTCAAGTCTCCATACATCTATACATGCATACATACATATATGTACATATTTTTATCTCAAAATTTTTTCTGTTTCTTTCATTTCAGGTGGAAAATCGTGCATTACGCTTACGTGAAGCTATGCAACAATATCAGGATGAGGTTATGCCTTCATCACCGACAGCCTTGAAGCAACACCAAACACAGCTGCAGTTACTGCAACAAGAGCCGCAACAACAACAACAACACCAGCAACTACAACAACAACATCACTATGCAGCTGCCTCACAAAACTCAAATCGATTACATACAAACGTTCTCATTGAAGGCAGTGTTGATCCTGGTGGATTTAAGCCACGTGTTGGCAGTTTGGGTTTAAATGCATTGTCACCTCAAGAGGAAACATCGCATGATGTTATCAGCACTAGTGGTTTAGCAGTGGCAACTAATGGTCTGGGTGGTAGTGTGGGTGGTGTAGGTGAATGGGAATATTTTGATGAGGCTGGCTATATACGTGGTGGTGCTTTAAGGACTGGTGAAGATCCCTACATACGCAATCGTTTCAATCAAGAGGCTAGCGATGCTCTACCCAGTAATCGTGAGATACCCGATACCAGACATCCCATGTAAGTTGGTGACAAAGAAAATCTAAATAACTTGTAAATAGAACAAATTTTGAGACTGATTTCTTATAGTTTTATAGAGGATCTTTTTAGTTTACTGTTATTTCAGGAAAGTCTTTACTTTACTTAAAAATTAACCACTATTATTATTTTTCTCCCTTTTTTTAAAGGTGCCGCAATAAAAACTATCGCAAAGACTTGCCAGAGACCAGTGTTATTATAACATTCCATAATGAGGCCCGTTCAACTCTATTGCGTACCATAGTCAGGTGAGAAATAAATAAAGATTATCAATTAAAATTTTACTGCTTAATAAATTAATATTAATTGTTTTATATAAATGTTTTATTGTTTTACTTATGTCTATCATTCTCTTTACAGTGTCCTCAATCGTAGTCCAGAACATTTAATACGTGAAATTATATTGGTAGATGATTTCAGTGATCACCGTAAGTACTAAAACCAAATAACAACAACATTGGTTAAAAATGTTTAATTGTTTTTAAGTCAGTCTATAACAGGGACCATTGTCACAAACTATATACAAAACTATAGTTAATATATATCCAGGATTTTATACAGTTTGAACTATAGTCAATCTATAATCCAGTGGTATATAGTCTACCTAAAGTCTGAGCCCCAGTCAATCTATAATTTGGTTATTTATTTAATATATAGTCTTTACTATAATCAATTTATACCCGGGTCAAAAGAGACGATAGTGTGGACTAGAGTCAATCTATATGCTTGACTCTATTCGTTTTATAGCCTTGGCAATAGTCATTCTACAGTCTTAACTACAGTCAATGTATTGTCTGGACTATAATCAATATATAGCCTGGACTATAATCAATCTATTATCTGAACGATATTCAAGATATACTCTTGACTAAAGTTAATCTCTATACGCAAACTATGATCTTGACTATAGTCAATCTGTAGTTTGGACCATTGCTAACTTATAGTCTGGGCTATAAACAATCTATTCTCTGATCGGTAGTTAGCCTATGGACTGGATTATAGTAAATATTTAGTTTGGACAATAGTCTCTACTATAGACATTTTAATATCTGGGCTATAATCAGTCTATAGCTTGGACTTTAATCAATCCATAGTGTGTACTATAACCAACCTATAGCCTACGCTATAGTCTTTATATATAAAGTCTGATCAATCACAGTGTGGACTATAGTGAATCTATTGTCTGAGCTATTGTCAATCTGTAGGCTGATAAATAACTATTTTGTCAACCTAAAGTCTGGACTCCAGGTAATCTATAATCAGGACTATAGTCAATCTATAATATGGACTAAAGTGTGTGTAAATTTATAACCTTGGCTATAGTCAAACTATAGCCTTGATAATAGTTAATCTATAGTCTGGTCTACAGTCCACCTAAAGTTATTTTATGGTCTGGGCTTTTGACTAATCTATGGACTAATAAGTTAACTATAAACTAGTCTATTGACTAGCCTATAGACTAGTCTACGGACAAGTATATTGAATAGTCTATTGACTAGTCTCTAGAATAATCGAATGATTAGTCTTTAGAATAGTCTACTGACTAATTTATGGACCAGTTAGTCTGTTGACCAGTGTTTAGACTAATCAATAGACTAATCTATGTTGTATAGTCAATAGACTACTCTATAGTTACTAGTCTATTGACTAGCCTATGGACTAGTCTGTTGACAAATCTACGGACTAGTCTATTGACTAGTATATTGAATAGTCTATTGACTAGGCTCTAGAATAATCTAATGACTAGTCTTTAGAATAGTTTACTGACTAATCAATGGACTAGTTAGTCTGTTGACCAGTGTATAGACTTATCAATAGACTATAGTTTATAATCTATAGTTACTAGCCTCTTGACTAGCATATGGACTAGTCTGTTGACTAATCTACGGACTAGTCTATTGACTAGTTTATTGAATAAAATTGAACTAGAATCTAGAATAATCTAATTATTAGTCTTTAGAATA